AACAATTTTGTAAGATTGTTTATAGTAAATTTTATATTGGCTATATTATACTTATATAAGTAGTTTTTTATATATTAGTTGTTTACTCTAACATGTGAAATGCAGTCTTTTGTATCCAACATATGAAATATTGTTTGGTGAGGAGACCGAGGTGGATTCAAAGTGAAGGATTTGGTTACAACTATTCCGCATGTACAGTTTCTTATAGAGAATATGCATTTAAAAGGAGAAACCGACACTAATGTTAGGGTGTATGGACTGTTGGATGTATAAAATTCATATTATATGCACAAAATTTTATATATTCGGCTAAGCATAATATTAGCTATGATTTAAATAATTTTTGAGTGGATAACTTTTTTAAAAAATATATCTAACAACTTTATTAGATGTTGTTCGAAAATAATTCAAACTAGAAACCCTCAAAATTTAATAAAACACTGAATCTATTATTATTATTATTATTATTATTATTATTATTATTATTATTATTATTATTATTATTATTATTATTATTATTATTATTATTATTATTATTATTATTATTATTATTAGTATTATTATTATTCTTATTATTATTATTATTATTATTATTATTATTATTATTATCATATGTAATATGTTTATATAGCTTGCTAACAGTTTTATCCATTGTTCTAATAAAATACGTAACCGTATACTATATTTGGTGTTCATATAACTTGCTAACAATGTTATCTATCTCGTGTACCAAAATATGTAACCATCTACAATTTTCTACTTGTTCGATTAAAATCTGTCAAATCATTAAATACATTGGTTCTTATAAAGTTTGTAAAAATCTCCCATCACATTAACTCTCCTAACTCAATGGTATACTCCCTCCGTTCCACAATATAGGATGTTTTATCCAAAGCACAAGAATTAAGAAACTTAACTTTTAAAAAGATAACATCATTAATAGTATAAATTTAAAATAAATTAACCAATCATAAATAATAAACTAAAATACTATTGGTCAACCGGTTTTCTATAAAGTTCAAGTACCTTAAAAATATCAAAACATCTTATATTTTGAAACATCAATTTTCTCTAGAACATCTTATATTATGGAACGGAGGGAGTATAAACTAACATCAATTTTGGATGCATGTGCACAAACCATTTTAACCAGCCAATTCCATATTCCACACCATCCATTTAGAACATTTCTAGTTTTTTGTAACACATACATTTTTAGTTAAATCTCTTAACTATAACACTCATGAAGAATGAAAAAAAAAACAAAACAAAAAAATAGCATACCAGCAAATTTTTGTGAGCAACAGAATTGTCTAAATGTTTCTGAAAAATCATTTTTTACATGAATTTTGTTTTAAAAAGGTGAAAAGAAGATGATACAAAGCACTTGTTCACTAGTTGTTTAAGTTGCAAGGACCAGCACGCTGAGGAATATACATGGCATAACCTATGTAAGTTTTTGGTCTGTTATCAGACACATCACTGTGATACTTATCCCCGCCTTGCCCATATCTTCATCAAAACGAGGAAATAGTTCACCGTGACAACTCTAACTTCATATTGGTCGAAAAGGTTTTAGGATTTGGCCAAAACACACGAATAATTTTTCCTGAAAATTCTTTAGAGAAATATTATGGATTACTGTAAAATTTTTTTGATAATTTAAAGAGCAATTTCTTGGCGTAAAATGCTCATAACCTCTCATCTTTCTTTTCCGAAATCCTCTCACCATCTTCCTTCCAAAATGAAAAATTAAAATTTTGATGGAAAAACATCAACTGACAGGTTTTCTCTATCGATTCCAATACATTTTACTCTATTAATCCCGATTCAAATTGAATAAAGACATTTTCAAATATTCGTCCTATATTCATATACACCGAATTTATTTAACATTGACCTAACTTATTCAAGTGTAATCATGCCCTATTTATATAGAAGATTGAAAGAGTGTAAGCCCTAATTATGATTTATCGATCCTTGTCAAAACAATGAAGATTGGGGTTTATCTAATGAGCGCCAGTCTTCATGGAGCTCACAAAACAATGTTCAATCATTGATACAACAAAAAGGTTCACACATATTAGTTCAAACGATGTTTTTTTTTTTTGAAAAGGGCCTTTCCATTTAAAACATAAACTATTACATGATAAGACCAAATATCTTATAGTTGGTAAGAGTTTGCATGGAACAAATTTCATGATGTAATGAATCCCAAACCAATGAAACAAAGGTTGAGACTAGAAAAACCATCACTATTAGTAAGGAAATAGCTAATGATAGGAACCACGGCCGTGACGACCACACTTTCCTCTTCTCGAGCTGTTTGCCATTCCATGTTCTGGTATTTGATCGGAGGTTTTGATTCCCTCCCACCTCTTGTCAAGCTGAGAGAGTTTGAACGCTAAATCTCAACTTCATCCACATCACCTAATACTGTAAAACGAGAAGGACTCTCAAATGCACAATGGTTAGGTGTCTTGGTCACGAGATCAACTACGAGAGATTCTAGAACCTCGTTGTTGTTATTGTTGGATGGAGGAGACTCCATAATTTGTGTATCAATGGGAGTAGATTGGGAATCTACTAATGTGCTAAAAGTGGTAACTTAGTTAAGTGGATCAGTTGGCTTCTCTTGTAGAGAATGAGAAGAAGAAGATGAAGTTATAATCATTGGGCTTCCTGAGCATACTTCTAAAGGATTTGAAGGACCTGAAGTAAGGTCATGAGCAACCTCCACATTAGATTGCATAGCAGGAATGGGATCAGTTGCAGCTGGACCTTCTAAGACGTTAGTACTCTGGAAGACAAATTCTTTCACTGCATGGATTTAGACATGTATGTTTGATTATTTACATATATTTACAAGTATTATGAACAACTTCAAAGTATTTTATATATATTGAATGTTTTTATTATATACATCAAAAGTTTAAAATAATTAATATGTATAGGTATATAAATCTCTTTCGGATATATTCGGGTACCCGAAATACTTCGGTTCGGGTTAGGTTCGGTTTCAGTATTTTAAATACCAATATTTTGAACCCATTCGGATATTGAATCAATTTTGGTTCGGATTTGATACTACTTTTTGATCGGGTTCGGTTTGGTTCTTGGGATCCGTGTTTTTTGCCCAGCCCTAATACGTACTCTTCAAATCAAACCTGCAACTCTGCATCTACATGAACGACAAATGGCAATTGTTTTCTAGCATTGCATGCTATACTATCCGCTTGAAAATTATGTATTCTTGGTATATAGATGATTTGTGAGCTGAGGAAGCTTTTCTTTAGCATCTTGATATCCTTCGTACAAGTGGCAAAAGCTGACAATTCTTCTTATTGCATAAAAAATGTCATTTTAGATTTCAATGCAACTTATACTTATTTTAGATTTAATATTAATTATGAAATGTATTCATCTTATAATTTTTTAAAATATTAATATTAAATATGTGTTATTAATAAAATCTTTAAATGTATTTCTATTATTTTTAATTGATTTGAAAAATGTCAAATTGACATTCGTTACAAAACATAAGTATTTTTTAAGTGGTATCTGAATAAGTTTTAATTTTTTTAATCTGAAACATAATAATATTTTCTCCGTTTTATTTTAGTTGTTGATTTAAGTTTGTGTACACCAATTAAAAAAATAATTAATTTTGTGTATTTTCGAAATAAAAACTCATTACTTATACAGCTAACCACATTTCAACTAATAAAATAAAATAACATATAAATCAATAAAGCAATATTTATTTTGGAACGAAAATTTTACTTTACAACAACAATTAAATTAAAATGGAATTAGTAATAAATTACAGCTGGTTTAATTATCTGGAAGGAGAATCGACAGGAAAGGTAGTGCTTATGTAATGAAATCTTTTCTTACCCCTTGACCTTTGACCTTTGACCTTTGACCTTGGGGTTCCCATTTGTTCTTATAGTCTGTTCCTATCCTTTCGGGAAAGACAAACTATTGGTGATAGACGGAGCAGTCAAGCACAGGCAGGTATGCACCTTTCTTCTTCCTCTCTCTCTTGTGGGTCCCTTTTGTCGCAGTATGAATATGAAAAAGATTAAATCTTTTCTCATTTCTTTCCCATTTATTACTCAAATACTTAGCTTATTATATATTTGATATTTGGTTAATATTGATGTTTTCTGTATTAATAATTGCATTTGAAATTGAATTATGAGTAAGTTTTCTTCTGAAATTTAAAAATATTGATTTTTACAAAAATATTCAATAGTGCTTCTTACATTGAGGTAGTTAATTTTAATTTGTTTATATTCCATTATGTATGATTCTTGTTTGTACAAAGCTTTGTTTTGTCGTCATATGTATGTTGTTGTTACGTATAGTGTAAGGACGAGTCTTGTATAGCTAATAGACAAGTCTCTCAAAATTATTTTGAAAGACAATAATATGGTTGGAAGAAGTCATGCATATAAGTTTATTGAAAATATTAGAATCGATAATCTGATTAATATCTAAGATGATAAAACAATTTCGGGTTTCACCGGATCTTGAACATGTAACTAAACTCAAACTGAATTTGACAAAACCAAAATCGAATTCAACTCGAACTTTTATAATATGAATGGAGATGAAATTCATGGATCCAAAAATCCAAAACCAGAATAAACCCAAACCTAAACCGAATACCCAGTCCTAAAACAAGCAGTGACATTTCTACTTTGGTGTATGTGCAGGCTGCTTTCAAGTGCTCGTGATATCCAGATGGTATCAACTTGGGATCTTATCCTTCTTTTCTTTTTCACAACTTCTTGGAATCTTTCATGATGCTTTTTTTCTTGCGTGTGATGCATTATTTCATCAGTTTTGAGAATTAATTCCTTGCAGGACGATGCTGCTTCTTCTTCTACAAGTCATGTTAAGTCATTGCTAATTGAGATGGGGTTCAACTCTTTTCTTGTTCAGAAAGCAATTGATGACAAGGGTACTCATAAGTTCCCATGCAAAAAAAAAAAATGTCATCTTTTGTTCATCATGCTAACGTAATCTAGGGTATTTTTAATTACTGAACTTCTATTTCACATGCAGGTGTACAAGATCTTGAATTGTTGGTGGACATTCTCACTAAGACTATTGTAATAAACATCCTGAACCCAAACAAGTATATTGCATAAAATGTGATGAGTATGTCTTGTTTTTTCTTCACCAATGATATTCTTATTTGTTTTTCTTCCTTTGACAGGAGCCTGATATTCAATATGAAGCTGATGGGGCAAGGATGATGTTGCTAAGGATGAACTTCCCTCAAAATCTAGTTGACCTCGCACTAAGTAGACTTGGTAATGTATTCAATACACAAAAGCTATTTGGAGCCATAAGTTTAGTGTCAGCTCTCATTTGGCATGTCTTACTTCATTATTCTATTTTCTATGTTATAGGTAAAGGGACGCCGGTTGATGAGATGATAGACTTCATTACTGCTGCTCAATTAGCTGAAGAGTATGCAGAAGAATCTGAAGACTTACTTGATGGTACTGAAACCAATAGAGAAGATGAAAATGTTATTCTATCAACGGAGGTATTTGGTGCTTCTAACATTAGCTATTTATTTATTCGTTTGTGTTTTAACATGTCTCCTTAATGTGTTTTGTTGCTTCGCTTTAGTAGATTCCACTTCTTTGCTTGTAGCTTCATTTTGTATTTACTCATGTGGTCTTTACTCTTATTATCTAATGCAGCGTAAATATACCTAGCTAGCCTAGCAAGTTTTGGTTTTCTCTTCTGTTTATCTTTTAGTTGGGATCTTACCTATTCTTCTTAGTGTTAGTTTTAACCTAATCTAGCAAGTGGTTTATTATAAATTAGCCTACTTTTATAGAGAGCAGCAGATCTTTAAACTAAATTAATAAGAGTTTTTTTTCTCTAAATCTGAGTATTTAGAAGAAGAATATTTTTCAAATCTCAAACCCTAAGAGTTTTTGAAAGTCCCAAGAGGAGGATCCTCAAACTCCAGTTTTGATTTCTCGTGAATGTCATAAACAAACTTTTAACCATCATTATCATCAACATGGCCGATCCTCATATAGAACCAGTCCTCAACAGAAGCTGATCAAGCATTAGCTTGAGGGCTGGTATGTTTAAATACAATTAGGAGCCATTTTCATTGAAAGTTAGGTCATATGGTTAAACTTGGTTGAGTGAAGTGTGTAGGGTACCGGTTTCCAGTTCCAAGTTCAAGATCAAATAACTGATTTGTTTTTTTTTTTTTTTTAATGTTTGTATGGCCAATAAAAAATTAGTTGCTCCCGGCTCTGATCATTGACTAACTTTTATTTTATGTTTTACATCCAGGTTCCCAGTGAGTTACTGTTTGAGGAAATGGGCAAAACTTTGCAACTATTGGAAAGGGGATTCTCTCACGATGAAATATCAAAAGAAATTGAGAAGTTAGGTGAGAAGCTTAGGCAGTTACATGTTCATTGAATGCATGAAATGTGAATGAGAGTAAAACTGAATTCCTGCCACTATTTAGATATAAATCTTATAATTTATACAATTTAGGATACTCATTATGTTGCGTACATAACCTATTTTGCTCATTTTCAGGTAAAGATCAGATTTGTAATGACCAGGAAGATATAGAAAAGGTATGTTCCTTTTTATTTGTTTCTATATACTTTTTTTATCACGTACTCAAGAGATACGCTTAGTGTATCTCGTCTTGAAGCACAGTGCTGAGACTAGAGCTTTTTCTTATTTTACTGAAACCATCTTATTCTCTTCTCCTAGTTTTGTCAATATATTGGTTAGATTTGTACTCAATGATATTTGGTGTCCCTGTAGAAAGTCTCAGCTGCTCCTGCAACATGCCCTTCAAAGAGTTGGAGATTTGTTGGTGTTAATGCCAAGAAAAAGCATGGTGATGTGGGTTCATCGAGTGGCACATCCAATGTGGGAGAGAGCTCAAAGAGTAAAAGAAAAAAGGATAAAGTTGACAGAGAGACTGACAGAGGGAAACGTCTAAGACCTGAACCTATGGGAAGCTCAAGTTCAGTAATGGAAACACCAAGGATGAATGATGAGTTGATAGAGAACTCGTATGAGTCTCCCAGTGCAATGCAGCCACGTTTGTCCAAGATGCGTCCCTTAGATTTGGTCAAACGACCTTATTTTTTCTATGGAAACTTAACTGAGTTATCGCCTCAGTGGTGGTCTAAGATCTCGAGGTTCTTCTTTGGAATTCATCCTGAAATTGTAGATACTCGGTTGTGGTCAGCGCTGCGTAGGAGAGAAGGGTACGTGCACAATCTTCCCATCGAAAACCGGTTCCATATACTCCCAAAGCCATGTAGGAGTGCTCCAAACACCATCTCACCCGTAGAGCCTGATAATATGGAGTGCATTATGGGATATCCATCAAACCACACAAAAATAGGTGGTGGAATAAAATTGGCTGCAAGAATGAAGCTGCTGGATTATTGCTTCCAAACTGATACATTGGGCTACCATCTCTCTGTGCTCAAACCTATGTTTCCACAAGGGTTGACAGTTTTATCACTCTTTAGCGGAATTGGTGGTGCTGAAATCGCGTTAAGCCGCCTTGGAGTTCATCTGAAAGTTGTATTCTCTGTTGAGTCTTGTGGAGTGAGCCGTAATATAATGAAGAGATGGTGGCAGACTTCAGGACAATCTGGAGAGCTCGTGCAGATTGAAGATATCACGAGCTTAAGGATAAAGAAGCTGGAGAATTTGGTGCAAAGGTTTGGGGGATTCGACTTAGTCATATGTCAAAATCCACCAACACCAGCTGATCTCTCTAAAGAAAGCTCAAGAAGCGAAGCCTGCAAGTTTGACTTTATGTTGTTTAACGAGGTTGTTCGTGTTTCACGACGTGTCAAAGATCTGATGAGTTAAGTTGACCCAAGTTGTCTCATTTCTTTGAAAGATGACAATAAGATAGTAGTCTCTATGTTTTGAAATGATACATGTTTTAATTTTTTTCATACATATTAATAAAATATACTCATTCCGTTTCAAAATATATGTTATTCTAGGTTTATTATTTTGTCACAAATTAAGTGTCGTTTTAGAGTTTCAAGGCAAAATTTATTAGTTTTATATAATATTCTATTTTCCTATTGGTTGAAAAGTGGTTAGGTGTATATGTAATTGTATTTTTATCTTGAAAATATGTAATATTAAATATTTCCTTAGTCTGTGTGCAAAAACCTAGAATGACAAATAAAGTGAAATGGAGGGAGTACTATTTTAAAATGTATGTTTTAAAACTTTTACATATATTAAAAAACAATTTTACTTACCATTGAATTATTTTCCTGTAACTAATTATACCTCATAACTTTTAACTTTTAACCAATGAAATTTCAATAATCATTAATGCTTTTTAATTTTTTTTTTCAAAATGGATTTTCGGAAATGAGAGAGTATTAAATTCAATATTAAATGTATATTTTGTGATTATCTATTTCTTATAATTCTAAAATAATAATATTTTCGTAGATGAAATTAATTGTTTGAATTATACAATTATTATTAGTTGCCAAAAGTGTATTGAAAATCTAAAAACCTATTTTTTGAAGCAATTTCTTTTCTGAAACATGTCCTTGGATAATGATGGGTGGATTGCGTTGTTTCTTTATCTTCTTTGAGATGATGGTTCTTGTGATGTTGGTTTTCCAAACAAAAGATTCAACGAGAAATGCATTTCACTTAATTTATTGGGCTTTTTCATAATTGACCTGAAACTTGAAGTCAACCACAAAACTAACCTCTTTTTTTTTGGAATTTTATTTTGTCCAATTCACCCCACAAGTTCATATAATTCACGAAAATGCCATCAATTTATTTTTTTATTTTTATTTTCGAAAATGACATATTTACTCTCTCACCCTCATCATCTTCAAGTAATTACAAGATTGCCATTGTCATCAATACTCCAACAACCATGAACAACCAATTTTTGAAGCTCTTAATGCCTCCAAATTCCATTTACTCTTCTTCTTTCTCTATTCCCATGAACTAAACAACACATTACAACACATATCTCTCACTTTCTCTCCACAATGAGCTAAAAAAAACCCAAGATTTTGATTCTACATTTTTTAGGGTTCATATATTCAAAGAAATTAAAGATTCAGGGTGGATTACCTTCGTTTGAGATCATGAGTGCTTGATTCTACATTTTCTAGGGTTAATATAGTCAAAGAAAGTG